GCCCCGGCCCCGCTCTCTGCCGCGGCGCCCAACTTTTCCCGGGCCGAGTCCCGGGCTGAGCAGGACGGCGCCGGCCGCGGCCGCCCGCGCTCCAAGCTGCGGGCCCTCTTCGCCCACCCGCTGTACAGCGCCCCGGAGGAGCCGCCGCTGCTCGGGCCCGACGACCTGCTGCTGGCCGGCCAGGAGGCGCTGCGGTACTACCGGAGGAAGGTGGCCCGCTGGAACAGGTGAGGACCCCGCCCGAGCCCCGGGCGCTGCCTGCTCCCCACTCCCTAACGCGCCCCCCCCAGCCCAGGGCTGCGATGCGTCGCCCACCGGGAGCCCAGCAGCCGGGGAGCCCTACAGCCCTGGATCGCGAAGCCCCGGAGCCCTGGAGGCCAGGTGCCCTGGAGCGCTGGCCTTAGAGCTTGCGCCCCGCACCCGAGCCCCTCCAGCCTTTTCGACCTCAGAGTTTATCCCCGGAACAAGATCTCAGCGCGCGAAAGTTTCTTGTGTAACAGCGCAGGGCTGCCAGGAATGCTCTCAACCACTCCCCTGAGCTCCCCGTTATACGCCCTTTGCAGCCCCACTCGCGTTCCCCAGAGCCTTCCCACCCCTTTTCTCCCTGGCCTGAGATGCAGAGGTCCTGGACTTGGGTTTTCCAAGAAGAGGTTTCTAAGCAGGGCAACTCCCGAGCCGCGCCCAGTCATCCCTTATCTCAGCCCAGGTCGACCTGGGCCCCTCCAGATGCCACGCTAGGTCCCACGACTCAGCTTTCCCCCTTCCTGTCTTCTCTGTCCAGTGTCAGAACCTACAAAGGTCAGCTGGGGGCGGTAAAGTGAGGTCCCTGACAGGGACACCGCACTCCTCCTATTTCTGTGGCTTGCCCCTTTATGGTGAGTGTTCTAAATGTAAAGCAGTTTATTATCTTTTATTACGGTGATGATTTAGGCTGCCTTGGATCTGAGGATTGATGCTTCCACAAAGAAAATTCTGCCTGGGATTTTTAAAACTCAAAGCAAAATCTAGAAGGGAAAATATATGACAAATATTTAGAACAAAATCGAGGGTGGGAGTGTGTGGAGGAGGCATCATTTTCCTAGCTGAGATCCCCCACCTAGGTAGAAAGCTTTCACACGAGTGGAAGACTCTATCTTGAAGAACAGAACTTGTCTAAATATCACTCCCAGAGTTCACTTTTGTACCACACCCAACTCTTAATACAAGAGATTTCCAAAGAAGATGTCATCAGCAGTTTTGGAGTCCCTCTGGAAGATGAGCAAGCTATAAATCTTGATTGAAACTCAGAATTAGCTCAGTTTAACTGTTGGTTTATTATCCTGGAGTGCTAAAGCTGGTGGGGGCAAGAAAAACGATGTTTAGAATATAAAAGGAGGAACAAGTTGACAGTTACTGGCTGTAGTCACTGTGTTGAGTTTCAATTGCAACTCTAGGGCTGCTGATTTTATATTAGAAAGAGAGCCGTTCTCAATTGCACTGCTAATTGCATGCAATAAAAAGGCAATTTGAGATCGCTTCTCAGGCAGTCATTTTCAGTGTTCCTTTATTTCATCAATAACATGGGAATTGGGACCAGTGAAGTAGGAAATTTTGCCCTTAGAAAAATTGTATACACATCTAGTGCAGATTTGAGAATAAGGGACTCTGAGCAGCTTTGTAAATGTAGATCAGCGTTCATTGAGCCACGTTTCTGGGGCCTTAAACTTCTGTGTGTTATGTTGGGCCTGAAGGAAAATTAGAGGCAAATAGTTTGGCAGAAGAACAAGGAAAAAAACCTTCTCACCAAGCCGTACAACCATTTTAAGCTTGGGTTTTATGCCATAGGTGTTTTAAAATGTTTACCAACCAGAAATGAGGCCAGTCATTTAATAAAGGATTCGTAGGTGCCGGTGCAGCATGCACCTTGCTGTATTCAAGAGCCACAGAGCAGTTCCGTGCAGGTGGCTGGATGTGGCCGTCTCCCACATGCAAGGCTCATGGCTGACAGAAGAGGCTCAACCTGCTTATTAATCAGAGAATGTCCTCTCTCCACTCCAACTGCATTGTGTCAACAGGACGGTTATGTAAGCAGATTGCTGCGACTCTATCGGCGTTAAAAATGGAACCTCGTGTGACTTTTGAATCACACCCAAACCAGGGAGTGCTGAGGAAGCCTGACAGAGCGGGCAGGGCCCAGGAAGCACCCACAGACAGATAGCTAGAGTGGACAATAAAGAAAGGAACAATGCATGTCCTGGCTAACTGTCTTTCTCTTGTCCAGACAGGCCCTCTCTGTCTGTAGCCACAACTCTGTAGGTATTTCAAATGAACAGATTCGTAGACCTACGTGGGTGCTTCCATGCCAGTAATTACCTAACATTAACTGCTGTCCAAAATAAATGTATCAGCAAACTGCCACACCAAGAGAGGTGCAGGTAGTAAAATAAGTCCAATCAGCATTCTTCACTGCTTGCCCGGAAGAGGCCATCAGTCTGAGTGCTTGCTTTCTTTCTCTTTTTTTAAACCTGCGCACTAGGAAGTGCAGTACTGGTAGATTGTCAGAAAGTACCTTTCTGCAAGTCCAATTCATTACCAGTAGGAGGTGGCAGGGGCTTTCTTCGCCTCTACATTCCTTTGATTTCCCACGGTAGACCCGGAGCTTGTACTGTTTTGAACGATTCGGCTCTGGATCCGTGTTTGTTCATTGCATGTCAGTATTTCCGGAGGTTGAAAGGCAGAAGCCATGAGCGTGGTGGGTGGTTTGGCCGTGCACTCTCTGACCAGAAGTTGCCGCGGAGTCCCTTCCCTAAACTGTAGCACTCCCCTTGCTCCCCGCGTTTCTCTCACCAGGTCACTAAGCGTGGCGCCACCCAAGTTCAAAATGTAATCAGGGAAAAGTGATCAGGCCATCAGCTGCTGACCACAGCCAGCAAGCCAACGCCAGGCTCCATCAGGCATGACAACACAGTTGGCACCTGTGTGGAGTTTCGAAGAGCCAGTCTCGCAGGCAGCAAGGCCTTCGCTACCTCAGGTGATAGGCTAATGGGCCCCACTGCACACTCTTAGATCAGATCCCGGAATTGGCAGTGAAGGTAACAATTCACGTTGTATCCCAGCATGCTTAGCAGCTGGGCTCCCAGCTGCCAGGGAGAGACAACATCTGTCTTTAGACATGTTAAAACTGGCTAGTGTGGCCTGGAATTCTGCCCACATATTTTTGGTCAGCTCTTCGGCAACCTTGTGGCCTTGACACAGAAGTCAAATAGGGTCGTGGATCCCTCGTGTGCAGACTCCCCCAGCTACGCTGTAAATGTGAGTTCTCCGCTCCCAGCTTATCTTCCTTCGGTGGTCGGGAAGGTGATATTGGCCTGCAGTGGCAGAGGCAGTATTTCAGTATTTCTTAGAAGTCCGAGTGTGTGTGTGTGTGTGTGTGTGTGTGTGTGTGTGTGTGTGTATCAGACAGAAAGAAAGAGAGAGACAAAGACACAGAGAGACAGAGAGAGAGAGATTGAGAATCTGTGTGTTCTCTCATCAGAAGCGTGTGTCTTTCCCTCTCCTCCTTCCTGGCCATCCCTGAAAGAAGCCTGGCCCCGAGTCACTCCCTGAAAATCACAGCAAAGAGACTGGGCAACTTTTCAAAAATGACAGTTGTTCAAAAGGAGTGAATTGGCTCAAGCTTTCCTTGGGGAGGCTTTGAGAAGATCCAGAACACGCGAGGCAGATAGAGGAGAGGGGTCGAAAAAGCCAGGAATGATGGAAATCAGAATTGTCTAGTCTGGGGGTTGGGGAAGGTGAGTGTCCCCCTCTCGTGGCATTCGTGGAAGGAGCAGAGCAGTCTCTATATTTCACCCCCTCCTCTCATCACTCTATCTTTGTATTTCTCTGTCTGTCTGTGTCTCTCTGTCTCTGTCTGTCTG